GGCCGTGAGGGCTGTGAGGGCTGCGGAAGAGCCGGGCCGTGAGGGCGGCGTGGAAGACAAGCTGCGCCGAGAGCAGGGAACGATGGTGCTGCTGGAGGTGAGCCCTGGCATCAAAGTGGGGGGAAATAGGGGTGAAATTACTGATAATTGTGTGGAAAAGGGAATGAAATGAATTCCAGAGTGTAATTTTGGTGCTGGGGACAAGGGCTGTCGTGCCGGGGAGGAGGGAGCAAGATGGCGGCGCGGGGAAGGAGGAGGGAACAAAATGGCGCCCGGCGCTGAGGGGCAGCGCAGCAGGGGCTGGTGGCACCAGGTGCCCAGTGTCAGTGTGTGAGTGTGGGGCAGGAACTGCAGCTCAGCAGAGGGTCCCACTGCAGACTGGATTTATCGATGAAAGGTTAGTGGTAATGCTGTTACTGGCCGTGCTGGATTAAAAGTCGTGAAAATACAGGCTGGCACGTGGTACCTGCTTTATTCTCCTTGTCCTTTGTTTTTGCACTACTTAAATGATGGTTAAATTTTTAATTAATAACATAAAGAGCAAAAGGAAATGGTAGCAGAAGCAGAGCCTGGGTGAGAATGGCAGCATTGTTTGAAGGAAGGTGCCTTTTCTCTCAAACCCTGCATTTGGAACAATCAGGGCCAGGCAGCCCAAGGGCCACCCCAGAAGGGACACACCTGAGGGGTCACGGGCTGGGGCAGTCACATCTGTGCTTAGGAAGTGTTTAATGTCTAAATAATGATGCTGACTGTGCTTGAAACATAGCTTAACGTCCTTTTAAGTGGAAAGGTATCAGAAACCTTTGTTCTTTGAGTTTGAGCCTGTTCCAGATGCCAGGTGAGCTGGTTTGTGCTGGGATAGTTTTCCTCACTAGTGTGTCTGGTGCTGTGTTTGGATTTGTGATGTAAATACCATTATTCCAGGTATGAAGTTTTGATAAAAATCATTTGCAGACTACAGCAGAAAAATCCTTGGATTTCCTCCATCTTGGTGTCAGAATTTATTCTAGATTTATTTCCAGCACTTGTGTTCTGTCCACTTGTTTTCCCTACGAGTGTTACTTTAGGAACAGAAAATACAGGTCCAGAGTGTAAGGGACGTGCCTGTGAGTGATGCTGAGCACAGGCTGCACTCTGTCAGGGTGTGTAGGTTGACTAAAGTGTGCTATTTTTACCTTTTTATTTTCAGCAAATTAGCTTTGCATAATGGGAACAAATGTACTCCTTGCCATGGCAGTCAAGAACAGCACTGCATTACAGCATGTCTTAAAAGTTCAGCAGATAAAAATATTTATTATGTTGTAGGGCTGATATAAAGAAGCAGAAAAGAATATTTATAACTGTTCCTTATGTGTGTCACAAGTAGGAGATGCTGAGACAGGCTGGAGTCAGGTGGGCACTGGATTTCTGAGCAGGTGCTGGGTGGCCCTCAGGAGCCCACAGACACACGTGGGCACCTCAACTTTGATTCAGGGAACTGAGAGCATTTTGTTTTTTAAGCATTTTAGTTGCTTAAAACCTGGCTCTAGAAGTCAGAAGGAAGGGGTGCACATTCCAGGCCTTCCAAAAATGAGAGTTTTAATTTTACAGTAACAAACTCCCACCTCTATTCTGTCACTGCTGGGTGCTTAATTGAAAACAAGATACTGGTGTCAAGTCCACCTCTAATTAAAAAGGAGATGCAGGAGAGCATGTGTGTCTGTGCATGTGCAGAGTGCACAGGGTGTGAAAGTGCTGAGTTTTTTGGATCACACTCTTTGTAAGTAGAAGTACTCATTCTTTTAGCTCCAATTTGCTCGAAATTACTTTTTTTTTGCTAATGAAAATATTGTGCAGTTGCTGTAAGGGAAAAAAACCAACCCCAAACCCCTGAGGTTTTGAAAACTTGTTTATACAAATGTTTAGATAAATTGCTTTTTATGCCTTAAATTTCTAAGATCTCTTTGAGCTATGCTGGAATTTAGAGTGCAAGTCCAAGGCAGCAGTAGTAGAGCAATCACCCTGTGTGCCCCCCCCAGGTAAGGTGTGCATTGTAATTAATGCCACCCTGAGGATGTGATTTAACCCGGGTCAGCCCTGCAGTGGTTGGACCAGGCGAGGGGTGCAGGTCCCTTCCCCTCAACTGGGGCCAGATCATAGAAAGCAGAGGTAACTGAAGGCTCTGTTTCCATCCCCTGCTTCTCCCTAGTCTCAGCCATCAGCTGTTCTCCCAGGCCTGTGTTCTACGCCAGGGCTTCAAGGCCACACAGGTATATTGGATCTGTGGCAGATGAAGTAGGACACAGGATGGTGCTAGTTATCTTCACAGAACAGGAACATTTGAAATGTGACAGCTTCCCAAAGAGTTTTCTTTGACAGGAATGACATTAAGCAACTGGCATTTTAAGAAATGCCATTAAAAAAAATTCAAAGCTTTTTTTAGTAAGGATTTAAAAGCATTTTATTGATTGTTGTCCTATAAAATCATAGAAGTCTTTAATTCCTGAAGAACTGTGTCCAACGATAGGAAAAATGAAAAATGTCTTTAAAAAACATTACAGCATTTTTGGAAAAACTAGGTATGAAAAATATATACAAGGTATTAAAAAATCTGAATAAAATTAATGCCTGGATTTATACATTCAGTTATGTGTTAAACATCTGCCTGTATACAATAAATTTGTTAAAACAGTAGCAGTCTTTTTTACTATGTTAAATAAGTCTTTGTTCAATTTACAGTTTCTGTCATTACTATTTTATCAGTCCTCTTTTAAATTAATTTACAAGGCTGTATAACCACTGTCAGACCGTCCAGGTAAGTACTTTTGTACAAAATTATTGCCTTCCTAATACAGTTTAAATTGTTAGAGACAGACATTTACAAACACCCAATTCACTCACCAATGAAATCAGCATATTACAGACTATAAAACAACCTCCAGCCCCTGTTCTGAGGCTGGGGAAGGCAACAAGAAGAAAGCCTTGGTACTACAAGTTGTCCCCTGGTTTGTAGTGAGCAGTAGTTAGCTGCTGAGTCACAGCTGGTCCTTACCCGGGGAGGGTTTGCATCCCACAGTCCCACTGAGCTCTGCTCCGCCCAGGCTGCCCCGTTCACACAGCAGGAGGGGGCACTGGGGTGTGCAGGGCCCTGTGAGCACAGCTCCTGCCAGGCTGTTCCTCCGGCACTGCCCGAGCTCTGATGGTGCCCACAACAGAGAGGAGACCTGGCACCTCAGCCAAACTGTGCAGCTCGTCACTCTCCCTCTGCTGTGGATCCCACGGGATGATAAAGGTGCAGGTAAATGGAGTTCAGCAGAACACGGAAAGAACTGATCTCCAGTACTGAAGAGCAGAAATCCCCCAGCCCCAGACCAAAGTACTTCCTGTTCCTGCAGCCCATCAAACTCCTGCTCTGAAACAGTAACTGAATCACAGGAGCTCATTAAACACCTGAGGAAACCAGGAACAAATCGGCCCCATTTCCAGCAGTTACTCTCTGCTAAAATACCTGGGCCAAGATGGATCAGCACCACCTGCTTTGCAGAGTGGGGTACCTTGTTTTTGCCTTCAGAAATCCTTTCACCACTGCAGAACTAAAAGGAGACAGTCTGAGCTGCCTGACAGTGTTTGTTAGAGACCACTCCAGCTGGAGGCACAGCTCTGGATTCTGCTGGAGCTTCTGCCAGCTTTGCTTGTGCCAAGGCCTGGGCTGTCCCTGGATTTGCACTGGAGAGGTAGGTTGGCCTTCCTGAAGTACAGAGCTGGTTATTCTAGTTTAGGTCACACAGGTTCTGACACAAGTGGGAAGTATTCCATTAACACCCTGGCTGGTACTGGGACTGTCCCACTGCAGCTCTTTGGGACACCCCCAGCATTGCTGTTCACCTCCAGCTCCATGGATGGGGCCCATGTCTGCTGTCCCGTGTCCTGTGCAGCTCTGGGGAAAGCAAGTCAGGATGCTGAAAAACGGAGGGAGCAAGAACAGAAGGAGGCAGGGATGGAGCAACTGAAGCCAGAACTGGAACACGAGTGAGAAGGATGCAGAGCTGAGCTCCCAGGACACTGCTGTGAGCTGCACTCTGCTCCTGGTCTAGCCAGGCTTCAGTTCGGAGCTCTCGGAAGGCAAAGCGAGGACGGACACGAGTATCCAAACATCAGTGCTCTGGTGAGGGGGGGTGGGCTCCGGTGCCCCCTGTCCCACAGGGAGCACCCAGCAGCGGGTGCAGAGCGTGGTGTGGGGGCAGGAACACACTACACATTGGTTTCCAGCCCCAGCAGGCGCCCCATGCGCTCCATGTTCTTGTCCAGGGTGGCACGGCAGGTGATCTCCTTGGCACACTCCATGGGGAACCAGCCCCGCTGCCCGTCCCGCAGCCGCTCCCCCTCGTACCAGCCTGCAGGGACAACAGGGACACCACCACAGCTCTGTCACACCTGGCTGGCCTGCACCGAGGTGACACTCACAGCCATCACACACCTTATACACCTGCCTTGGCACTGAGTAAAGGACCACATTAAGAGAGATGTGGCAGCTTTTAATACAGGCAGACTAGGGAAGAAAGTCTACATAAAATGTATTACACAATTTCACTAGTTTTTTTATATTGTAATTAAAATATAATTTGCAATAATGACTATACTATCACTGCAATCTAAAGAGAGCAGTGCAGCACAAGTGACAGCATCTTGGATTTCATATGTAACACTGAGTAACATCCAACTGGGATTTATCCCTCAAGTTCTGGCAGTGTCCTGCCTCCCTGAGCCAGCACATGGTGCTGTCAGTGGAGTCACAGGCATGTCCAGGCACGAACCAGTTTTGATCTTGGGGTGCTTGATGCTGTGGAAAACCTCAGCAAACTCCCTGAGCCAGAGCTGAGCCTGTAGCAGGCAGGGAAGCTCAGGCCATGGCACTACTCAGACTGGGGATGCTTCTCGTGGACAGCCCTGGCACTCACTGGAGTGTCTGAGCTCCTCATTTTTAGATAAATGCAATTTCTTATTTGTGGACATGTCAAAACCAGGCAGCACACACGTTCTGCAGCTGGTTATACTCTGCTCATCTGCTGCCCAACAGAGCCTGTCCTTTAGAAACCTGAACCCAGATGTCCAGGCTTTTCTTGGAAGCTGAACCTTTTCTCAGTTGAGGCCCATGCTATTAGAACCAATTTTTTCCAGCTGGATCTCCTGCAGAGGTGGCTATGACTGACAGCCAAACCTTCACTCACCATCATTCACTTTTTGATAAACCAGAACGACATCAGCCACTTGGAGGGACAGTTCATCGGCCTGCTTGGCTGTGTATGTCCTGATGATCTCCACCTGAGCCAGAGCTGGGGAGGAACAAGCCAGGCTCAGTTAAACCAAGCTCAGAGCAGTGCACCTCATGAAAGCACACAGACCATTTCTTTTTCAAACCTCCAGGGTGCACTTCCCCCCGTGCCCCTCCCCTGGGCAGTCCCACCCCGAGGGGCAGTCCCACCCCGAGGGTCACTCACTGGTCCTGTCGGTGTGCAGCCCGTCGCTGTCCTGCCCCAGCGCTGTGATCCACCGCGCTCTGTCGCTCCTGCAAGGCAGCAAACAGAGCCCCGTGTCCCAGATATGCTCTTGAGAGCGTCAGCACTGAGACTGCCCTTATCTCCTCCACAGTCAGCACATATCTCCTCAGCACCTGGGAGTAACCTGGGTGTATCACCAGTGTGTGTATTTTGTGCCTTAGTGACAGGACGATACAAAGGTCTAACCTAACCCCAGTTCTTTTGTCCTCAGGAGCCACACACCACATGAGGTGATAAAACTGAACAACTGTGCTGGAAATCTTTGTGTCAGAGAAAACATTTCAGTTTTACCTGCACAAAACCCTGTTCCATAGGCACTCTGACCCACCCAGCTTGGCCTTGGAGATTCCCTTCCCAGCCTGCTCAAAGTACAAGATAAGACTGTAAAAATAGGTAATTTTTAAATACAGGAATTCTTTTCAGCCTCTTCCTCTGAGTGATGATCTACTATTTATACTGCAAACAGTACAGAACAAATCAATAATAAATCTGAAGAACAAAATGTCTTTTCATCCAAAGCCCAGACAACTAAAAATGTCCTGCATTTTTTCCTCAATAAAATTGCATTTTCAAACAAGTCTGAATCATCTGCTGCCTTCATAATGAGTTCTTTCATAGAAAGCATTGATGATCTTTAGTTTCTTTCAGGGTTATTCTAAACTTTGAAAGCAAACCTAAAACTATCAATTTTTCCAGGCAGGGATATGTCTGGAGCTCTCCCTTTCATGTGTCTGTCCCGCCTCCAGCCTCCCCCGAACAAACAGACTCTCTCAGTGCTGGGGAGGTCGTGCGGAAGTTAACGGCCCTCAGAGCCAGGCTGGGCACCCACAAACAGGACCCTGGTTGTTGCTGCTCACACTGCCCAGGAGAACAAGGACCAGGCTCTCCCAGCAGGGACAGCTCTCCTCCTCCCCCTGCTGCCCCATCCACACCCGCAGCTCAGTGCCAGGGACTGGGCTCAGTGTCTGCCCGCTCCCACCCCGGGCCCTGGGACACTCCTGTCCCCGTCCTGCCACGGTGGGACAGCCCTGACCCGGGTGAGGGACCGGACCCAGCTGTGACACCCCCCGACGTTACTGCAGCCCCTACTCACGGAGTCTCTGCTCCCAGCAGCATCTCCACCCTGTCCCCCGCGTGGTTGCTGAGCACCAGCAGCCTGAAGAGGTGGGCGGCAGAGCCCCGCGAGTGCAGCACCGCGTTCCTCCCGGGAGAGCAGCCGGGCTCCTCCTCGCAGGGCTGCACCACCAGCTGCTCCCGCAGCGAGTGCTCCGTCACCGTGTAACTCTCCTCACTGCGGGACAGAGCGGCACAAACACACCCCGGGTTAATGGCTGGGTTCCACTCAGGAGGTCTGGGTGCAAACACCATTACAGAACCCACATTTAATTCCAGAGTCCAGGATGGTTCTTCCAACACCTCATCTCCACGGGTGGGGTAACAGCTCCTGCCACTGTGTTTGGTGTGAAAACCAAGCTCTTATTGGGCTCTGTGGGGTGTGTTTTCACTGTTCTGCAAATTAAATACTGAAATGTTCTGGGTTTTTGCAGAACAGCTTTGTACGTGATGGACACAGAACATGCCCCAAATGGAACCCCTCCTGCTCTGCTGCTCTGAACCAGGGAAAGGTGGGGTGGGGTGGGTCGGTTTTGTTCAGGTTTTTTTTTAAAGAAACCAGTTCAGTATTTTAGTCTGGACAACTCCTGCTTAGCCAAGGACAGAACTGGGAATGCTGCCATCATTACCTGTAAGACTTGCATCTGAGAAAGAAATGTGTCCATACACTTGTGTAATGAATAATAAATGCATTCCTTGCTAATTATCAACTAGTTTGCACATGTGCACAGCTAATCATAACTGCATTTCTTACCAGTTAATCAAGAGAAACCTTTACAAACCCCTCCTACTCCTTACCTCCATTCCACAAACCAGTGGGATCAGCCAGGGCAGGGCAGCCCTCACCCTTTGCCCTCTGTGCCTCTGGTGCCCACACAGTGCCTTGTGCTGCCTTTGGTTATGGAATCCCCCTGGCATCCTTAGACAAACCACAGGATTGTAGGTAATGCTCCCAAGAGCACTGACAGCAGGTAACATTCCCAAGCAGCAGTGACCTTTGGCCTGCCAGCACTGACTGCTCCTGCCAAGAGACTGCATTAAACCCTCAGAAGTATTAAATCTTTTTTTAATGATATTTGAAAAAGAGTTGGATTGTGTCTACACACAGAAGGAGCTACAAGGACAGCTGACAGACAAAACGTTCCCAATAAACTAAAAGCTGGGCAGTGAGTGGGGAGAAGCAGAGTTTTACTGCTCTCCAAAGCCTCGTGTACAACGACACATCCCAAGTTCCCATGTCCCCTCCTGGCCCGATCCCAGGGAGCAGCCCTTTGCCTCACTCCCTCACAGGCCCAGTGTGACAGAGCAGCTGCTGCTGCCCCGCAGGTCAGAGCCTGTCCTGGCAGAGCCACCCCACAGCCCCACAGGGACCAGTGCACGGAGGAGCCAGGACAGAGCTGGCGAGGATGGGCCGAGCCAGGGCTGCCCACGGACTCTGGGCAAGGACCAAACTGTGCCACTGCAGCGCTCACAAAGCTCTATTTTTAGCACAAAGTGATGTCTTACTGCAATGTTAAGAATCTTCTGCTCAAGGAAAAACACAAATATTTAACCTCAACTAGCAACCAACATTTCTGTCCAGTGCTGCAGTGCCGTGGCAACACTGTGGGTGGGAGCACAGAGCACCCAGAGCCCAAACTCTGTTAACAAGCTTTGTCACTTGGGCAGGGGGAGCTTCCTGCTCAGGGTATAGGGGGCTCAGAGCTATTAGTGCTGTTCCATCACATCCCTTCTACTGGGTATCCTGGGACAGCAACCATGTGAGTGTGCCAGTAACACAACAGGTTCTGTCACCGGCCTCTGGGCCCAGCTGGGATATCTCCCTTCCAGCAGCTGGAAGGTGTTACAAATCCAAAGCCCGAGTTTGGATCAGAGCTGCTGTTACACAAATCTGGTGTGTGATCGGGACAGCGACAGGGACCAGTGAACAGGGACCAACAGGGATCAAGGACCTGTCACTGCTCCCCCAGCCCCAAACTGGCACAGCACAGCAGCCCCACGTTTAACCCAGTGTGCCCCAGCTCTGCAAAGAGCTGCCAGGGAGGGGACAAGGGACTGTCTCACAAATATCCAGCACAAGCTTCAATAAACACGGAATCTCAGAGACCTTCACACCAGCACAGCAGACAGGGAGAAATCCAGGCACATTTCTTCCCAGCTTTAGAAAAAACCTCCACTTAAATAATTCTCCCCCTTCACTTTGGTTTCTCTTTGCTTAAATATTACCATTTTCTTCCCAAATGTTATATCATACCCCACTCCTCAAAATTTATTTCAATTACAGGTTTGCAGTCTCACAGAAGGGTTTGGCTGAACAGGCCAACCCAGATGCAAAAACAGTTCTTCAGAACAGTTCTCAGCCTCGGGAATAAGGTTCATTCCTCAAGTATTACCCAACAGCAGCAGCAGAGGATATCAATTCCATTCAATTTGATTATTCTACACCTCCCCTCAAATCCAGTGATAAAAATGTAAATGGAAACTGCTGGAAGTTGTACCACATCTGCCATCCTCAAAAACCACCCAAGCGTGGGGAGCGTGGAGGGGAATGGACATTCCTGCTCCTTTATCCTTCCCAAACTTCTCCCTTGGTTAAGGCATCAAGAATGAGCTTTTTAACTGGTTTGACAGTTTGGAATTTCAATTGTGTTTGCCAAAAGTAAATCCTGTTTAATGAGCAGTTACTCGTCGTTTGCACCCAGGGGCTGATGGACAGAGACTCAAATAACTGCTGAACTCATTTCTCAGCCACCACCGCGTTAGAAGTCAACGCTTCGAGGAGCTGAACACAAAGGCAGTTTTATACTGGTGAAGCTCTTACCTCTTCTTCTTGGTGATGATGAGGACATCATTGAAGAGGAAGAAGTAGACCTGCTGCTTAGAGGTTCTTTTGGAAAAAAGTCCAGTGTCTTCTACATACGCTGTTAATTCGCCCCTTTTCACCAACCACCGTGAAGAGGAAACCAGTGGAAAGGGCTGCAAGGCAAGAAAATCACATTTTAGTCCTTCAAATGTAGAGAGAGATATTTTAAAAAAATCAGAGACTGGAGTATGATGTATTTGGGGAAGATGCTTGAATAAACTCAGAGCTCAGAGATCACAAAGGGGTTACCACGGTTTAAGGGACCTCCAGCACTCCTACAACACACAGGTAACAGCTGCAAATACCTGGGAATCACTCGGGCACCTGATCATTGCTCACCAAAAGTAAAAATGAACAGACCTGACTGGTCACACTTGGGGTGGAACAGACTGTGAGACCTCCCGAGGGCAGTAAAACCGAGCCTGTCTTCCAGGAATGTGTTTGTGGCTGGCTCCTGAGGCACCTGTGCACACTGGACTGTGCTCCCGGTGCCTCCCGGAGACACTCCCTGTGCCAGTGTCACCCGGGACACTCAGCCAGGTTTGCACAAACCTTCACCCCCCAGCAGGTGCAGGTAGAACCTTCTTCCTTCCAAGGCTGTTACCACCCCACACCTCTGATGTGTTCCCATGGACTGCTGTTCTCAATAGGAGCCCTTCAAGTCCTGCCCACTGGCAGGCTTTATTTAATATGGAGAATGAAGGATTCTACAGTTTCTCTCTGGGTGAGGACCAACACCTGCAGCAAAGCCACAGAGGGTCTGAGCTGCCTGATGTGAAGGTCTGGATTTATTAACCCAAATTATTCCCAACTGCAGGAGAAACAGAGCCCACAGAAGGCCCTTTTTTTTCTCTGTGCATGACCACAAAGGGAGATGTGAGACTGTGTGTCCTGGTCACACAGAGCCTCTCTGAGGCTGTGACACAGCCCAGGGAAGGGCCACACTAATGAACACAGCTGCCTGTTTCCCCCTCATTTAAGCACCTCTCACATGCTTTTAAAACACCCCCTTCATGCAGCCTGTCAGCTCCTTCCCATTCTGCATGAACTGCCTTTGTGCATCCCTTAATCCCTGAGTTGAGCCAACCCTGCCTGTACCTGCCCAGGGGCTGAGCCAAACCCAGCCCAGCTGGGACTGGGACCCTGCTCGTGGAAGAACAAAACAGGAACTCCCAAAAATAACCCCCCACAACTTCTCTGCTGCTAAAGATGAAAAGTTGAAGAACTTCTGAACCTTGATTAAAAACTCAGTTCCAGAGATGTGCCACGTACAAAAGTGACACAAGATCTGAGTTGCTTCTCTTGTGCTCCCATGAAATTCTCCACAGTTACATCTAACAAAATAATAAACAAAAATCTCCAAACACTCTGAGGCTGGGCAAGAACAAAAATACTTTAACTAATTTATAATGGTTATAAAACAGAATTACAGCCCCATGATGATTGGTTTACAAGCAAAAAATATTTTACAAAGTTCTATTTGAGGATGAACTAAAAATTCCTCTAATCTGTACTCCAAGTGAGTTCATCCCATTTTCCTAATTGACTCTATTCCAGAGGCAGCTTGGTTTTACTTTAATTTTTCCTTAATTGCCAAAGGAGCACATCACGTGCACCATCTCCCTGCTACAGAAAACAGGCTCTCAGAACTGAAAAATGCCTTGAGCCCTGGCCAAAGTGGGGCTTCCTCTGCCAGCTGGCAACTCCTCCGACCAGACAGGGCCTGAGCCACCACAGGCTGCATTTGGGATGCACAAAGGAAAATTCTCCCATAAAAGCACAGAAGGACAAAGCCCCCAGAGCTGCTGTTGCTGCCCCAGCACCAGCACGAGCTGCTCCCCCAGAGAGGGGATGGACAGAGCCCCCGTCCCGAGGGAAGGGACAGGAACCCCCGAGGGGCTCCTGGGATTGGGAACTGAGCCCCCAGAGAGGGGCTCAGCCCCAGCACTGGGCTGGGCTCACCTGAGTATGGTATCACCACTGTCAGGAAATGGCACTTGGCCAGAAGTGTTTTATTTGTTGTTGCTGTTGCTCTACGTAAATATTAGTACTGTTTCAATTTTTAGTCAAAATTAGAGAATAAAAATCCTTTGGACAAGTTGAAAAACCTCTTTTTGGAGGCAGCGTTTCCCCCATGCCTGACCCTCCAAGAGCCACACTTTTAAAACCATGAACCTCCACTCACTACACGTCTGGTAATGAAACAATCTTCTCTCAAAGGAATCCTCACTGTGTAACAGTGTCAGACACTCAGGACAGAAATGGGATTTCAGCAAACATTGAACAGAAAACAATAAATGTACTTGAAGAAAGATCTTCAATGTCCAATAAACCCCCTGCTATATATGACTGGGTCTGCTGGTTATTCCTACCACAAAGACTGACTGGAGATGATTTTTTAACAGAAACCTGAGATGTCCCACCCTTAAGAGAAAGGACAAACATCCCCAGGATCCTTCCCTGGCCTGGAAGCTTTGTCCCAGGACATTTTGCCCATCAGGTACATGAGAACACCTCAGCACTGAGCAGCATCTCCTAATGCCAAAATCTTCACAGCAGCTTAATTTTTACAGCAAAGAATACTCTTATTTCAGTATATATTCAAAACCCTTGCGCTGTAGTGTCACCTTCTACTAGAAATGATCAAAATACTTGACCAAAATTTTAATTTTTGTCCTGACACATCAGATGGTTTCTTTGCAAGAATCACTGTGGGATATGACAACACGGTAAGAATTCCACTGCTTCCTGTGTCAATGAAATGGTCAGAAATATCCTCCTGCCCATACCTTGATTTTGAATTCCAGCTGGGAGTTAATGGTGTACATCATCTCCGTCCTCTCCATCTTCCGAGCGCCCTCGTTGCACAGACGGACCAGCTGGGAACGAGACAGGGCTGAGCTGGGCTCAGGGACTGCACCAACTGCTGTTCCCTCAGGAAAGGCACTTCCAGGGAGGCACAACCCCCCAGCAGTGACACTCCAGGCTGGGTCACCCCCAGAGGGTGTCCATGGGTGCCCAGGGCTGGCCCCACACCCGGCCCTGACCCCAAGACCCCTGACCCCCACAGCCCCCCAGGACCCTGGGAACTGGTTATTCAGGGGCAGTGGTGCAGAGCCCAGCCCAGGTTCTGGCTGAGCAGGGCCACAGTGCTCTGCTCCAGGGGAAGGATCAGCTCCACACACAGCCCTCCCCTGCTCCAGCCACGCTCTGCTCCCACACACACACCCAGCAGCACCAGTGGCACCAGTCTGGGTTCTTTTCCCAAGTAATAACCAGTAATTCTGGTGTAAAACCCATCCCCAGGGGCCCTTCTTAAATACAGCAATGTGGAGGTTTTATGCCTCAGTGCTCCTCCCACCTGCATTATTATTGCACAAAACCCACCCCTTTTCCCTCACAGTGCACAGGAATGTTCAAGGGCCAAGGTAATGTCCAGCCCCAGCAAGCAGAGAAGCAGCTTTTTGTTCTACTAAACAACACCCAGCACTTCCCATCTCACATCAGCCCATGATACACTACAGCTCCTGAAATGCTGAGATCTTGGGAGGCAAAAAACCCCAGTTTTCTTTTCATACCCCCATGTTCTGTTTTAAAGAGGTGTCTTTTCTAGAATATAAATACATTAAGCAGATCAATTGGAATTTCCCAACAATTAATCAAAACAAGGGATAATCTGCTTGCACAGGTTCAGAGGGAAGGACCCACATTTATTATCCAAGTCACTGTTGTTGTAATGTAGTCTGTGCCTGCAAACTGGACTCCTGCTCATCTCCCACCACTGACTCCTGGCAGAAAACCCTGACTAGAGGAGAGCAGCTCTGAAGCACTGACAGCAGGGCAGCTGGTTCAGTTAAGTCTGCTCAGAAGATTCAGACTTTCTTTACTGTCAGGACACTGTTCTGGGGTTTGTGATACACACAGTCCACCCTGGGCTTTCTGTTGGAACAACTGGCATGAAACACAATACATTTGTCCAACTACACAATGAAACAGGTGAACGATAAACATGAAAATTAATTCTCAAGTGACCAACAAAACCCCAAAGCAGTCAATTCTCTGGTGGGTTTCTGAAATGACAAAGGCCTGGAGGGTGATTCAGGAAGGAAAACAGTCAAAGCAGGAAAAATTCTACAGAGAAAAATTTCAGTGAGCACTTAAGAATGTACCTTGCTGACTTCTTTTAGAGCCTGCTTGCAGTTCTCATATTTTGCTGAATCCTTGGGTGTTTTCTGGCAAATGGTCTGAAATAAAACATCAGTTACTTCAGAGGACCAAGCAGCACAGACTGCAACCCACAGAGAACTCAGAGTCCATGAACAAACTGCCCAGGTGATCAAATTAATCAGTGTCCAATTTGCAAACCTACAGAACCAAATCATCAGTCCTGTCTCTGGTTCCTACCAGAGCTGGACTCTGAGCCTGGATCCCAGTTGGGTGTTCCAGCTCCTCCTCTGGTTCTGGCACCTCACCTGAACTGCCACAAGCCCTGGTGTGAACTGTGGCACCAACACTCCTGGCACTTCCATCACACTCCCGGGCTCCCCAGTCACTGCACAGGGAGGGACAGCTCAGTGCCACCCTCACACAGCTCCCCTGCCCTTGGGAATGGAGTTCATCCTTCGGGAATGGAGTTCCACTACAGACAATTTCTGTGCTGGAGCCTCCTTGGTTTCAAAATTATTGTGACCTTTACTGTACAATTTTCCTATTAGAATGTCCAAATCTTTAACTTGTGAATGGGGGTCAGGAGCAGGAGGGACCAGTCACAGCCAGCAAACAAATGCAGCAGGACTCCATAATCCACAGCCCAGGACATACAGCCCTGGACTGGCACAAGGGGGAAGATGTGGAGAGACTGGAACGAACCAGGAATTGAGTATGAGAGCATGTGAACACTGAAGGAACATGTATCAAGGAAAAACAGAGAAATAGCTGTTCTCACATCCATCAGTAAGGGGAGACGAGTGACTCTCTGCATGGGGAGGATGAGGAAGGAGATCATGGGCAAATTCCTGCAATCCTCGTGGGACTCGATCCGGGACAGCACCTCCTTAAACGCTGGATTTGTGGCTCTGGGGGAAAAGAGGGAGAGGATTAAATGGTGTTTTACCAAATAATTGTGCAAATCGCCAGATCTCAAATAAATCCTGGTTTCATTGCCAGGGAAACGTGGTTTGCAGGAGCTGGATCACCTAAGCCCGGCACTGACACCAAGCTCAGGCACTGCCATCCCTGGCTGTGAGGGCAGACCCAGGGGAGCCCGTGGGACACTGAACCGATGGAGGAAAGGGAACCAACCCCTGTGACCACGGCAGGGTTGGGCTGTGCAGCCCAGCGAGCCCCCACTCCTTGGAGGAGCGTGCAGGGCCAGCTCAGCCTGTCAGCACATGCTGGGAGCCCCAGGTTTTGCACCCAGCTGCAGAGCCTCCCCCTCCCTCCCAGCACAGGTGGTGGTGCAGTGCCAGCCCCGGGTGCTCACAGCAGCCTCTGCAGGGTGCGCTGCTGGTACACCTCGTTGGTGCAGTACTTCACGTAGGGGTCGAAGGAGGAGCCCGCGTGTTTCTCCACGATGTCACTGATGTCATCGATGAAGATGTTGTTCTGGTGCCTCGCTTCCAGCTCTTCAAAGAACCTGGGAAGAGGAAATGGGTTCCTCACTTTGACAAGAAAACAGCATCTTACTCTCATGGCATTTCCCACTTCACCTCCACGAGCCGGGACTTTACAAACTAATGACAACTGGAACGGTTGGTGACAGGGTGAGATCATCCCTCCTTTGGCAGGGCAGCGAGGGAAATCCTGACAGGACACAAATCCAGGGGTTGGTGTTCCCTGGCAGCTCAGCAGCAGTGTTGGCAGAGGCAATTCCCACTCTCCCAGTGCCAGAACCCAAACAGCATCACTGAGCTGGTCAGACCAGAATTTCCAGAAATGGGGTTGGAAAAGAAATGAAACTACTTCAAACACACATTAACACATTTCCTCTTGCAATTAAAGGCAGCACAACACCAGAAGTGCTCAATGAAATCAAGGTCTGTGTGACTGCTGAGCCAAAGACAAAAGCCATGGTTGGCAGAGGGGGACATGATGCTCATGTTTCACATCCTCCAACCCACCCCTGGAACCAAACACAGATTGGAAACACTGAAAACGGGCACAGAACCCAAAATCCTCTGCTGGCTCCTCCCCTAACCATGCTTGTTGTCCCATATGGAAGTCTCTTTGGCCTCTGGAAGCTTCCCACTCCTTTTGGCACTCTTAACTTTCCCACAGCACGAGCCTTGATTTCCACCGCACTCGCTAGAAACCTCTCCCTGTCTGGGGAGTAAGAGCTCACACAGACCAGCTCTGCAGGTCCCCACAATTCCCCCCACAGCACACCAGTGCCATCCTCACACATGCAGAGCTGCTGACAATATCTCACCAGCCCTGGCCACAGCCTTTGTACATTAGGATTCACTGCCAGAATCCTCAACTCCCTGGAGTCAATGAGCTTGTGAAAAATTCTCACATAGTAGAGAAAACATTAGTGAAATACTTGGGACTCATGATCCTACATCAAGTTCAAATATTTTGAAACCTGTTTTCTTTCATTTCAGCCCTTTATTCCATTTTCTCATCACTAACAGTGGCTCTTCTAATCTGTCACCTTTTTTCAAGTGTGCCACTGATGTTCTGCAGAGTCTGTTTTGCAAACACACCTCAAACCTGTGAGAGGAGGAGAACAGGATGAACAGCAGCTGATCACCCACGTGTGTAGGAACAGGGGTTAACTAAGTTAAGGTATTTTCCAGAGGCAGCTGCTGCACTCAGTGGCTGCCAGGCTCCCACTGGGTCAGTCACAGAGTCAGGACAATCCAGGGGATTTTGTCCCATTTTGGATTTTGTCTGGTTTTGTTAAGTTTGGACACAGTAACTGCACATGCACTGGCTGATGTTTGTGTTGGCATTTCATGGAAAACAGGGTAGCACAAAGAGGCACCACCTGCCCTACTACAGCTTCCCCCTTCCCTTCCCCTCTCAGTAGTGCTCTTTAACAGCCTTCTCACCTCTGAAGGGCAGAGTCCCCACACCCTCTGCCCCCCCATCCTCTCAAAGCACAACATATTCCAAGTTGTCCACTGTGCTGTGGATTTGGGTTGAGGGTCAGGACATCCCACTCACTGCTCCCAGAGCTCCAGGGACACACACTGAAGGCAAGAGCTGCCTCAAGTGTCACTGGGGTTCAAGAAGGTAAAAAAACAATTAAAAAATGAAATAAAAGAGAGTCTCCAAGTCACAGAGTCTGCAATTTCTCATGAACCACAACAGATTCCCACCACTGCCCACCAGGAACTGGGATTCCTCACTCTGCTCAGACATATTTACAGCTGGGAGAACCTCCCACTGCTGCCAATTTACTGTGCTCAGGAAATGAGGAAATCCAGAGTTTCCTGCTGGGTTATGGCACCCTGACAAAGTGTTGGACCCTGCTGGGCCACAACTTCCACTTTTAGAATTTATCTGGTGCTTCATCAATGACATCAGACACAGTCACTGTAAGATTCGTAAAAATCTGGGATAAAGAAAAAAGGGAATAGAGGGGCAGAGAGAAGCAGCACCCCCAAGTCCATCCCCCCAACATGTACTACAAGGAAATCATGCACTGAAGCTTGAATCAAAGGTTGTGGTTTTTCACATCCAATCTGCTAATTCCTAGATACAATCAGTGAATCAGACACATCATAAACCCTTTCACTTATAAATTTAGGACATATTCTGTCACATCTCAGGACTGAAGGATGGAGTGATTAAATTCAATTTAACCAACTAGGAATTAGCTGTGCTGTGTGATGCTTTTTTTGCTGAATACCAGAAGGATTTATTTAAAGAATCTGTTTCTGTTAATTCCAGAACTTTTCAGGTTGAAGTTACATCCAATTAAGTGGAAGTCAAACAGCATCACAGGACAGAATTTGATTTCCCTCATCTTGCCCTTATGTTGTTTAAAAGAAACATCCAATCTGTACCACTCCAGCCCCTCCCCTAAAGGCTGAGGGCCAAATCCAGGACTGCAGGTTTAGCTCATTCCCTGTTTGTTTGTGTCCAGCACAAGCTCCAGAGACACCGGAGCTCTGGCAGTGCTGGCTCTGCCCTGTGTGCCAACAGTTTCCTCCTCACAGCTCTGGTGGCTCCTGGAAAGGCTCTTCCCTTGTCTCCGGGCAGATCAGCTCCTGGAATGACCCCCAGGAACAACTTCTGACACTTGCTCAGGCAATTCCCTCAGGCTGTTCATTCCTCCTCACTGGCACTGCTTTATCCAGGACCGACAGCTCCCAGCTCCTCCAGGACTCCCGTTAATTGGGGTGTTAATTGGGGTGTACAGTCACAGACCCACACGCTCCAGGAGCAGCCCCAGTTCCCCACAGCCCACCTCTGCAGGGCCCCAACAGCTCGTGCCCAACTGCCCAAGTCCCACCACAGAGTTCTGCTCCAGCACAGCCCAGGGTCCGTTCTGGCCAATGTTTCTCCTCAACATTTACTCTCCCTTCACCCCTGGATAAATGAGCAGGACTTACATTCCCACAAATACTGGATCCTACCATCTGCATATTCCAAAATTAGGCTGCACTGGATTAAGAATTGTTGCTCAGTTTGTGAGGTTATCAGGCCTGGTGTCTGACACAAGGCAGACTGTCCTGCACTCAGCTCGAGTGCTGCTGCTGCCACAAGGCCACCCAGGAACAGAAACAATCCACTGCAGTGGCAGAGAGCACAATTCACCTTCCTCCTCCCAGAGATAAGGGAACTGGAATAACAATTGCCAATTTCAGATAACTTCAGATAAAAGTAATAAAGATTTCTGATTAGACTCTCCAAATGTGAATCTTCTCACCAGGAACAGAAGCTGAACATCTGCATCACTCTGGTTATTTGGGGAAGGGGAGGGGGATTTAAAATAGTAAAAATGTGAAAAAATCCATCATTTTTTCCATAGAATTTTTATGCTGAATCATAATCAGAGCTTTTACAAAAACCTAAATAATGGAAACCAACCTGTATCTACACACATAAATATTACACCAAACCCCGCACAGCCAACAGCCCATAAAACACCTTTTACTGGGCAATGCCCACTGAACTCTCCAAACCTGGGCTGGCACCTGCAATCCCTCAGTCCCTGCAAACACTGGTGCTGCTGTAACACAACAGAACTAATCCATTGTTGCTCATATAAGAATATGAATCATATAAAAACATCAATTAAGCATTGCTTTGCCTTGGGAAACTCTCCACCTCAGCTAGAAACAGCAGTGACTTAGAGTGCCCAGCAAACTCTGCAGGGAAAGTGTGGAATTTATTTTCATTTCCAATGACAAATTCCCCCCAGGCTCCTGCCCCCAGCCCTCAGAGCCAGCGGGTGCTGCCCTGGGCACCCCCGAGGCTGTGCCACACCACAAACACTGCCAGGCTCATCTCCCCACCAAGGTGCCCACGCTGAAGCTCCAGACAAGGGCAAGGCCAGAGGGCAGGTTGGACGGCCCCGGGAGGTGCTTTCAGCAGGGGGAGCAGCAGTGCCTGTCACGGGATAGCCAAGGGCAGGACACAGCCCCCAGTGCTGCTGGATCCTCCCTGTGCCACCCCGGGCTCTGCAGCCCCTTCCCTGCCCCTCTGCAGCCCCTTCCCTGCCCCTCTGCAGCCATCATCCAGGGCAGCAAAACATCCCACAAGCCTAAAACCAGGGAGAGAGCCACAGGGTTTGACTGCTGCACACAAAGCTGCTTCTCCTCTAAAACGTTCAAATAAACGTCTGTATCCATGATGTTCCTACTGACACAGCCACATCCATAGGAGCAGCACATCCCACCCTGGTAGGGGACATTCCCCTGGTACAAACCCCACAGACCCACTTCACTGCTCCCAGAGCAATGGGCAGGCCTGAGCCCAGCTCCTGTGTGTGCAGGGACAGCCTCCAGCTCAGGAACTGCAGGTTTGAAATCTCATTTAAACACAGCACATTGAGCCCAGAGTCCCTGAGAGGAGCCAGGGGGACACACATCCATCCTTCCCCTGACAGCCTGGCTGAACACAGAGCTTTCCAGGCTTACCAACACCTTGGTGCCTTCTCAAAGCTGCACATTTGTTGTGCAAGAAGGGCAGTGGCAGATCTCAAACCACACTGATCTCGCTCAGCCCCAGCCAAGAGAAGCTGCTGCTTCCCTCTGCATCAGGCTCTGCCCAAGGAAAGCTGAGATGTGAGTCCCAGAACTGCTGAACCTCCACCTACTTTACTGCCAAAGGAACACCCAGATAAACACAGTTAGTCTATTTTGTGTTTCCTGCAGCAACAGTAAATCTAAATATTGGTGAGAGATCCCTAAACTGCTCCCACAACAGCCCTGCAAGCCCCACCAGCAAAGCCCAGTGGCTTCAGAGGGTCTGTGTGGGCAGTCCCAGAGATTGTGACCCCAGTGCTCTGCAGGAAGGGACCTACAGGACAAACACAGTTTGGGTTACAGCTGGAAGGCTTTACAGGTTTTAAGTACTTTTGTTCTACTGTCCTCAAACACAAGTATTCACATAAATCACTCTGTGCAGAGGGTGGGTCACAGAAGAGCCACAGGCTGCAAGAAATCAGCTGCAAATGCTGCCCTGGGATGATTTCTTTGTTTTCTTCTTTAAACAGAGAATATGTTTCCATCATACAGGAATGGGTTTCAGTACAAATAGCTGTCAGGGCAGCTGGCAGCTCCACACCATAGTTCTGGCCACGGAGCTCCCACAGCTCCTGTCCCTGCCCCTCCTCTCCAGGCCAGTCCCCAGCATCACTGTGGGCCCACACCTGAGGACACTGGAGCTGCTCTGGCAATGGTTCAGCTCAAAAGAAACTGGGTTTAGCTGATGCCAAAACTATCCGTTGCTGGGTAACAGAAACCATCTTAAGTCACCACTGAGGGAAACTCTGGGGTTTGGGTGTTTTTATTTTTAAAAAACTAGCTATCCTGTTAATGTTAAAACCAGCCCTTGCAAGGCAATTAGAGGGAGAAGTGGCAGTTCATGGGCTGAGGGCCTGAGATAGAGAAAGAAGAATTATCTCCAAAAATACCTAATAATAGCCACAAAAAAGAAACTGAACACAAAGGACTGAACTGGAACTAGAGCAAGGACTGACAGGAGAGTTTTGAAAAGTAATCCAGTGAGAAGAGGAAAAGTTCTGAGGGGACCTGACAGTGAGTCTCCTCCCAGGAATCTGGGACACAGTCACAGACCTTGTGTGCTACCTCTGCACAGGAAGATCAGTGACAGTACAGAGCTTTGGAGTCAGAGAGGGACACAGAGACAATTAATTTGTCAGGATAATTCTGGCAGCAGTAACACACAGAGACACTGAGAGGACACTGTGCAGATGAAGAGCAGATAGGCAAGAAAAAGTTCCCAGAATTCCTGAGAGAGAGAGGCAAACCAAAAAAGACTCTAATGGTCACTGTTCCAGAATACTGGTTTTGTAAATTTAAAATAGCAATTGAACCACCCTTCATCTGACAAACACTGATAATATTGCCAAGCTTCAGCAACTGCAATTGAAAATCAACTAAAATGCACAGCTACAGTCACACAGCTGAGATGAGCTGAGGGCAGAGCAATCCTGGTCAGATCTGCTGTTCCTGAGCACTGGAGTCATGTATCTAATCCTGTCTCCAACAAAGAAACCAAATTATAAACAACAATCCCTGGGCCAGGAATGCAAGTCCCAACTACACATCCTTGTAAAGCTGCTGTTCAGCACCCCAAGGGAACAGTGCAGGGCAACCAGAGCTATTCCAGCTGCCAGGAGAACCCTCTGCACACACAACTCCTACAAGTTAAAGCCACAGAGTTCAGCAACAAGTGCAGGTGTCAGAACAACCCAGAGAGGAAGGAATCAAAGGAAACAGCAGGATAAATGCACTGTCCCAAGTCATCAGCATGATGCAAATCCATAAATGTGTTTTGTGGGCACCTACCTAAAATTTAAAGGGGAGGGAAAAGGTATTTTGGACTCACAGGCTCTACTCACCATATTTTCCCTTTTTGTATTATATGCAGATTTTGGGGTGGTTTTTTGCAATCTGTCAAAGAAACTGAGCAACAGAACTCTGCTTTCTCTAAAAGTAATGTTTTTAATGCTTGTTAACTGATTCAACACATACACTCAAATGATCACAAGGGCTGCAATGAATCTCTATCATATAAAGTATGTGGGAAAGAGGTGATATGTTAATCTAATTTACAAAAAAAGCGCTGTGAGGAAGCCTACCTGGTTCCTAACATATATTCACACATTTAAAATTAAATTAGGATACTCAGACAAGCTGCAAACCTCCCCCACAAACACACACTAAAGAAATCAAGACAGAGTTTACAGTTAGAACCTGTCCAGATCCTTTTGTTACTGTCTTTTTCTGCCAAAGCACATCTGAGACCATAGAAGTTTTTTGCCTTTTGTTGGTCTGGTGGCAGAGGCACAAATGCTAAAGCTTTCCTTTCTCTTAGGAGCCTGGTGATTTAACCTGCCAGACCAACTGTTCCTCAAGACATTTCCCAGATTTCCCTGTGGCTGCTCTTTCCCCAGGGAGGCTCCTGGGGAGCTGTGTCCTCTCTTGCCCCACATCCCCCCACTGATTTCTCAGTGCTCAGCCCATTCCTCACGGAGCTGTCCCAAGGCATCCCCACAGCCCAGCCCAAGGGCTCCCCTGGATCTGTGGGAGTTCAGCTCCAGCACCTCTGAACTCCCAGATCTCACACCCAGGCAGATACACAATGAAAGACTGAAGCTCTCCGAAGCACCTTCCAAGAGGTTCCCACAAGCACACCCAGTGAGTGCTGCCCAAATTATTCAGCTCCACTCTCTCTGTCAGAGACATTCCAGTGAGCTCCCAGGAGCAGGGAGGACTGCTGCCTGCATTCTGCTTCCAACAAAGGCAGCTTTGTTCCCCCAGGAATGGCCCTGTCATGCACCAGAGGCCTATCCTGGTGTTTCTGGACAGTCTCCACTAAACATGTTCCAAGGCAAAGTTCCTAGATAGAAGCTTTTAGCAATTTTGACTAAAGTACTTTTATAAAGTATTTTTATCAGCTCCAATTCTTCAGCTCAACTTTTGCCTGAGCAACCAAACCCACTGGTAACTACACCCATACTCAGGTTTTATGTTTTTAAGTAAAGGCTGCTTAAAATACAGCAGAATGGGACAGATGCTCACTTTTATAACAAAAGTATAGATTTTGCTGCCTTGAAAGACCTTGAAAATAGAAAGAGACAGTTCAAAGACACCAAGAAAGAGGTTTCTGGTTTAAAATCACTTCCATTATTTACACAAGTGATGTTGGTCAAAGCCAGCACAAAGTTTTGTTACAGTTTAACAGTATTGCATAATTCAGGAAAGAAAATATGTTTTCATTTAAGTGTAAAAAGGAGTTACGACTTCTGCTTTTACTCCAAGTTATAAAAAAAGCCAAGTTCTTAAACCATTGGGCTTTACAGACAAGAAAAAATGAGATTATAATTCTAGGCTAGTGGGGTATTTTTCCATGCTTTCCTTTTTTTTTTTTCTCTCCCCCTCCCACTTCCTTTGAAGACCGTTAATCAAAAGGGTTTTAAGAGTTCCCCTCAAAATACTGCTCTCCCCACCCCCATCATACTCTACTTTTACAAAAAACACTTCATGTAAGGAGAAGCCTTTAAAAAGTACATTTCCTTGAAAATACAGAGTTGATAATCTGCATTCCCTGACACCACTGCTGGGTACAACCCACTCCTGAGGTGGCTGAGGGGTCACACAAGACCCAACTCCTGGCAAAAGACCTCAGCTACAAGAGAGAGAGAGAAAAGGGAACAGAGGAAAGGGAAAGCACCCCAGCCAAATCCAAATCCTGTCCTATAGCTCCTACACTGGGTTTGCACTTGGCACAACACATCGGCCTCTCTCCCAGGTACATCCATGGAACAAAACCTTGGTTCTCCAAAACCTTCAGAAGACAAAGTCAAATTGCTGCCCAGCAGATGCCAAATTCCACAGACTTTATGGGGTTTCAGAGAAAATGCTAAAAAGGACTTTACCACAACTGGGAACATGAAACTTCACAAGTTCCACAAAGGTACATGAGGGTTTAATGCTAAAGAATTCAGATTTCAACATCACAGTTTCTACAAGAAGGACAATTTCTACACAGGAGACAAAAGAAGAGGGCACAAAGAAAAAAATATTCAGATTCCTTATTGAACCCTGAGCCCCTCTGTGAAAGAAAACCAACACTTCTGTGTTCCACAGGTAGAGAGACCCACGCAGAGCTGTCCAGAGAGACAGTTGAGAGCACCCAGTGCCTTCCCCAGGCCACAGCCTGGACTTCACGAGTTTGGGAAGAAATGGTCACCAGTAAAATGGTCACTTCAGCTTCCAACAAGAAACTTGCTTCTATGTTAAAGCTGTATAATTCTTTTAAAAGCAGAAATGCTGCACTTACTTTTTGCTTGCTTCGTAAACATCCGTGATGTTGGAGAAGAGGTGGTGGCTCTCTGTTTTGGTCATTGTGAGGCTCAGTTCCCTGGAATTTTTAAACATCCGGATCAGAATCTCCAAGCTCAGCAAGTAAGAATGCTCAGAAGAAATCACTTCAAATATTGCCTGCAAAGTAGAGGGGGGAAAGAAAAGACTTATTAGTGACTGGGCTTTTTTTAATTAAAAGAAAAGAAATGCTGAGGAGGGGTGCAAAGCAAAGTTTTTGCATGTAAACTACAGATTATGACATAAATATTCACTTCCATGATAGTTGCATCACTTACTTTGAAATAAGTGATTTAACACTAGAAAAAAGGACTTTTTTAAGAAGTCTATATTCAGAGTTTTCAATGCAACTGCAAACAGAGGGTTTGAAGACAACTCCAGACCAAGTGTGACCACTCCCCACTCATACTCCTGAGAGGTGGGTTTGGGGGTTTTTGGTGTTTGTTTTTTGGGGTTTGGTTTTGAACAGGTCCATTCCTGTGGTCTGTCTGGAAGGTTCCCATCAGTCCCACGACTGCTGGCCAGGCCCTGCTTGCCTTTGCTCTTCCTGACCAGCAGCTGCTCAGTTCTGACTGTCCCTGGGGCACAGGCCAAGCCCTGCAGGAGAGGAGCCTGGACCCAGAGCTGGGCCAGCACTGACACCTTGGGTCCCTCCAGCACCAGGATCAGGCACAGGAGGGGCCAGGACAGGGTGGCAGCCGGTGTCCCCTGGGTGGGCAGTGACCAGACACGGGACAGGCACAGCTCCAGGGGTCCCTGACCCCTCTGACCCACCCCCCTGCACTCCATGAGAGCCCACTGGTCCTCCCACCAGCTGGCACACAAAGCAAACTGGTGATGGACCCTCTGACTTTGAAATCCATACACTTGTTCCACTGGAACTTTTTTATCTCTGATGTAAAAACCTATTCAGCTCTCAGACATTTACAGTTGTCTGAAGGTACATGGGTAATAGAACTTTATAGTTCTCAATATAACCAATGTTGATACTTGCATCTACTATTTCATTAGTTATCTGCTACTAACTCCTCTAAAACCAAAGGAGAAATACCCAAACACAACAGCACAGGGGTGAGGTTGGAGGCACGAGGCTGAGGTCCCTCATGGGCTTCTTCCCAGTTTGGTAACAATAAATTAAATAAATGGGACAAAGAAAGACACTTTGCTTCTAAAGTGTAAGGAAGGGAGTATCATCTCACCATGACCCAAACACATTCTGGAGAATAAAAAATAAAGAAGGTTTAAGAATCAATCCTGAGTGACACACAGGAACCCCAGCACACCCAGGGGCTGGGTGGCAGCTCCAGGTGATGCAGAATTCCTGAATGGCACTTGCAGCCAGGCTGTGGTTCATTCCATGATATCAAGGTCAGCAGATGTCCACCCCAATGGACAGGAACTCTCAAGAGGCCAGGGGCACACTGCACTTTGTACACACACACACAGAGCTTCAGCTTGCAAGGAAAGAAGATGTGCTGAAAATAATTTTAGTTCCAACCTATGACATATTTTCTTTAGCCAAAAGATGCAGACCCATCTCACTAATGGGTTCTGAAAAGTGGGATGTGTATGAACACAGGACATGGACATTAATCAAGGCAGAAAACAAACAAATATATTTTTCTGCAGTGACAATGTATTATGGTATAATTATAAAATAATCTAATAGGCTCTAAAAAGCAGTTTAAAGACTAGATAAAGAATAGTTAATAAAAGGCAGTTTAAAAGAAATACATCTATAGCACAACCTCATAATGCAACTACAGCTTAAGAATATTTATTTAGGCTCCCTCTGAAAGAATGGGCCTCTAATATTCAAATAAAAAACCCTCAGGCTTGAAAACATTTTTGGTAACATTAAAGACTTTACATGTAAGAGGCATCCAAAGAACTTGTTCTCTTTGAAAAGATGTAAGTATGATTGGGTTGCAAGTATGGCTTCAGGAAACCCAGACTAAGGGTTCCTGAAGGGTATGACTGAAACCAGTGCCTTGTGTCTCAAAAGCTTCCCAGCAGGAGGAGGTTGAGGTATATCCTGAATTGAAATGAGGACACTGGGACAGGTTACCAGGGCAGGTACCAATGCTACAGTGTTTCTAATGAAAACACCTTGTTTCTTCCCTGCTGCCGGACATACCTCAGGAGCTGCAGGAATACACTTGGCTAGGTCAGGCTATGCTTTCAACACCTCTCATCCCCTTTGAAATAGCCCCTGTAGGTGAGGAAGGAGGGTAAAGCAGATAAAGTGGACACAGGGAGCACAGGGGAAGAGGAAAGTGGATCAAGAGGACAAAAGGAGCAAAGGGGAAGGAGACAGAGAGAGAACAGGTCAGTGCATTGGTGGCGGCGCTGCCAGGGAGGCACCGGCTCTGTCAGGGGACAGGGCAGAGCTCACAGCAGGGACACAGTGCTCTCATGTCCAGCAGGGTTAGTTACAACTCAGGGCCTTTGTAAAAGCTGCTCTTTGTTCCTCATTGCCTTTAAAAATTCACGTGCCACCTCCTCCCTCTGTGATCTCGGGGTTAATGTCACACCTTCCCTGGCACAGCAGTGACTGTGACACTGCCAGGCTGGACCCCCCCTGGCAGGGACACAGCACCTCAGCAACAGACAGGGTTGTGTATTTACTCTCCCTGGGGACACTTCACTCCAGGGCAGGAAGCCAAGCAATGAACTTATCTCCTTGTCAACAGAGCACTGAAGCAGGTGAGCAGTGCAGCCCCAAGCAACCAGCCCCAAGCACAGGTTACTGAGATACCTCCTGCCTCTTCCTCTCCTCCTGGCTGATGGCTTCTGACAATCCATTCTTCTTCACCTGCAAAAGAAATAAAGTGCTATTTTTAAAATCTCTTGGGGAAAAATGTGATTTTAAAAAAATAATACAGGACTATCAAAACATTGCAGCTAAATAATCAGTCCACTCCAGGGACAGCAATGAACCAGCAGAAATCAAAACAATGTCTATATTTGACTTATTGAAAGAATTGTATCATTTCAGTAGAAACTATCCCAAGACACAAACCCAGGAGCACTGCCACGAAAGCAAGCACATGGAATCCCTCAGGTTTATTCTTTCCTGGTGCAAATCACACATATTGTGTCATTTAACAGGAGAACGTTAAAAAACGAAAATCCAAAAACCCAGAAAGCAAAGCACCAAGGATGGCCTGGCTTCCTGCAATTCCCAGAGTGTTAAACCCAGGACCCCAAATCAGGAGGGACACCAGGGAAGGCAAAGAGCCACAGCAGCACACACGTGGAACAGAGACACGCCATGGCCACGAGACCTCACATGCACTTCCCTCCTCCCACTTCCCTCAGTATTCTCCAAAAGCTCCTAATGTTCTATCAGTAACAGCTTTCTCTCCTTACTCCACCTGTTCCCTGGAATTTTAAAGCATATATTATTCCTCACTTTATTCCTGCCCAGCAAGCCCAACACAGCTGGACAGCAGGCTCAGGAATAAAGGAGGAGCAGGGTAAGAGGTGCCACACTTTTTTGCATGCACACCAAAGCAGAGACTCACAGGTGAGTGCTTATGAAAATAATATCAACATTCCAGTGCTGGAGCAGTTGTTCTTTGGAACACAAGTCACAGATTCCCACGGCACCACAAGCAGACACTCCTGGATACCGAGCAAGAACTAATTAAATGCCTGTCTATTAAACCATTAAAGTACCTTTCAGTCAGCAACCTGAAAGTTTCAGAGCCCTCCCCAGGAAGTGCAATGGCACTGGCAGGTACACCACAACCTTCTTCTGGATGCAGTGGAAGACTTTTCTAAAACTACACCAACACAGGAAATACCTGGGAACACATCCCACAGGTGCTCCCTGCTGACACACGCACTGCTCAGGCCCAGGGAGCTCCATGGGCACCCCAGTGAACTCATGTTCCCAAGGGCAGCTGTGCCCCGTGCCCACTGCCTGAGCTCAGGCCCAGGGAGCTCCATGGGCATCCCTGAGTGAACTCATGTTCCCAAGGGCAGCTGTGCCCCGTGCCCACTGCCTGAGCTCAGGCCCAGGGAGCTCCATGGGCATCCCTGAGTGAACTCATGTTCCCAAGGGCAGCTGTGCCCCGTGCCCACTGTCACACGCAGGTGTGAGCACACAAAGTACACATGAGCTCATCCCGTGAGCAAACGGCCCAACCTCACACTCCCAGTCAGCAGCAACACTTCCAAAGAGACAGAGGCCCAGACATGGAGACTATTTCAGGCACTTCTGTGAAAGAAACTTCGATTCCTAATTTTGAAGTGTCCCAAATGTTTTAATTGAAATAGCCTTAAAAAAATCACATTTGTGACACTATGCAAACAAAAGGCTTAAGGCAAGAACATGACCAGAAGGACTGGAAGAGGCCCAACAGCACAGCTACTAATGCTGTGTGTCATCACATTGGACTGGCTTTTCCTCAGCAACTCAGTTATGACTGATTCAACCATGGAGATGAGGAGGAAAGGATGAAAGGACAACAGGTGAACTCTGGTTAGGAACAAGAAGTTCCCTCAAAATAAGGAGGTGGTGAAGGGAGGGAACATCACTGGAAATATTTCTTTGAGAAATACAAAAAGTGGCTGCACCATAAAGCAAATTGAAGATAAGCCCTTTGGTATAGGGAGAGAAATGAGAGCCCCTGCAGAGATGAGCCCTGGAGATCCCTGACAGTCAAACCAGGCAGATCCCTGGCAGCCAAAGCACAGAGAAGCAGCAGCCATGAACAGGGACAGTGTGCTTCTGTAAAGCAACTCACAGCAGCTTTTCAAATCAAGGAGAAAACAATCACAACCAAGATCAATCTCAGTTTCACATGTGTGTGTACACTGCAGGAAGGCAGAAACACCCTTTTTATTACTATTATCATAAAGAATTTGACAGTTCCATGCCTGAAGTTCACTAGTCCTCAAACAGAGCCTGGTCAAAGAAACCTCCTGCAGAGAGAGGGGTTCCCTCTGCCATCTCCCCTCCATCTCCCAGCACAGGCACTGCTAACAAACACCAGAAACATTATGCTCCTCCTTCCCTAACATATGCTGAAACCCAGGACTGACATTTTCCAGCTGACTTCCTGCTACAACTCCAGACTCACTTTTTCACTTTTTAATACCCATTGACAGCACGTAATTTTTCCAGAGTTACAACCACAGTCACTATGAGGCTCAGACTGCCAGATTTTGGTTTCTCCATGCACCACCTTTCCCCTCCTACTCCCCACTTCCAACCTTGTAAACCAAGTACAGACAGTGCACAAGTTGCTGTGCTCGAACAGCACAGAACAAGTTGGTTTCTGTAACTGAAGAATGGGACAGTTCCCTTCCTGAGATGGTCTCTGTGCTATTTTTGTCTCACAACAAATTAGTATTTGAAATTATCATTATTATTATTACTGAATAGCATTCTTCCAAAATACCTCAGCTGGTGAGCATTTAACTGCTAGTTTGCCCAGAAGGCAGAAAAAACAATTTGACTTCATTATACCCAAACTTTTTTGCAACGCTGAGCAAATGAACTATATTTAAAGTATTTGATTTGTTGAAAAAAAACTTAGAGCAAATCTTTTCAAAACCACATCGTCTTGCCTTCTTTATAATCATCGAATCAGGGGGATTCATATTTCAATATCTTACACTTCAAAAGGTCACCAGCATCTGTAAGACAGCTCTGCTAATCAGGCCATCTAAAGACCCGTAGGGGATCTCCCTGAGGCTTGATCACTCATTTACTGGAACATGCACAGACGTGGACAGCCAGCAACCCCAGCACTCCAAGGTGATCATGTCATGGCATCATCTCTCTAATGGCAGAGATGAGGACTGGCAACATTCTACATAAACAAAAACCAAAAAACAACCCCAAAGCCTTCATTTTAGGGACATCCCTCCAGAAGCCACAGAAACGATCAAAGGATAAAATTAACCCCAGAAACACAGAATTTTTACAATTTCTTTAGTCTCAAAATCATGTGTAGGGCAAAAACCTGTAAAAATATCAACTGTTCTCAGTAATTTGTCAGTTTATCAGCAGGGAAGGCAGCAAGACTGCAGTACTGATTAAACCAGCTGAATTTACTTTGTTTAATAATGCCATTAAGCCAAAGCCCCTGCAGATGCTTCCCAGCCTGTGCTGGGACAGCAGAGCACCACCAGCTCAACACCCTGCTTTTCAGAATGGTTTCCATTAAACATCTGCACTCGAGTCAACTTAAGAGCTGGTGTGGAGTGATTTAGAACAATTCAGCAGCAGCTTGTTTGTAACTAACTTTTCTTCAGTCTAATTCACCCTGATAGTGAACTCACACAACCCCTTTTTTTAACGAATTGGTGAAGTTGTGTCTTAGCCAAATACAGGGCCCCAAAATGAACTCTCTCGGTTTCACTGCTTTCTATGTGAAACAAAGACCAGTAATTGCTCAGGACTCCCGTGTTGTTCTTATGAAATGAAAAGGAAGATGAAAAACTTCAGCCAAAAACTGCAGCAGCAAGTAAGAAGCCTTTGCTTGAGCCCACCCTGAGCTCTGTCTCTGGCCACAGCAGGATCACACACTCACCACAGAGAGCTGGCTCCACGTCGACCTCAGGGGCTTGTAGTGAAAAACAACCTTGTCATCCGATTTCTGCTCTCGGGGCTCAGACTCTTCATCAGAATCTATGTCCAGAGCCTTTTCCTTATAGTTCTGATATAAAACAGCATTTTCTGTCAAACAACAACAGTGTGTCAGTCATCGCTAGAAAGTTGGTTTAGTTGCTCTCTTAAGAATTATAAGTAACAATTAAACAATGAAAGAAAGCAAAGTGTCACTGTGGCCTCCCCACTCCACCAGACAAAGATAGCATCTGATTTGGGCTGGACAATGGTGCAGTACAGTGACAATGGGTCACTGTACCACTCCCAAAGATCCTCACGGACAGAATTAAAGAACAGATGTGGCCTTTGTCAAGAAAAAAACAAAAACCAATTTTTTCTTCCTTGGTTTGCTGTACCCTATTTTACAATTAGCCAGCAATTAGAAAACAGGACTGTGTCAGTGATCAGTCACTGATCTGGAGGTCTAGCTATTTTCATCTTCAGGACCACCACAAGGCCACTGCCCATGACCACCTTTCTGTCAGCTTTAAATAATGTCTTTGCATTTCACTAAGAGGAGGAAACGATCCCAGTTTCAGAATTAAGGTCAGAACTACTCCAAATAGAAAATTCAAAGCTTTCCTGAGTAAGCACGAGGCCTATGAACCTTAAGACAAAACACCCTATTTGAGTTCTGTCATCATTAATCCAGTACTATCAGTGGCAAAGAAGCCCAGGTGTGGAGCACACCCTGTGCACTTCCCAACCTCCCTGGTCACACAGCCTTTGCAACAGCAGACAGAAAGGACAGAAATTCAACACCACAATGACCCACAGACAGATTAAGCCATTAAGCAAGTGGGCTCTGAAAGGCACTTTTAGATGGGCCAGGCTTTGGATAACATCCAATCCTCCCCTAGAAGGGGAAAGTGGAAGGTCTGGCTGCTCTGCACACAGCCCCAAGCCCATGGTCCCACACCTGGCGGGGTGACCTGTCCCACCTGCCCAGACCCTCCAGCCCCAGTGTTGGACAAGGTCTGGCCTCTGTCTCAGCTCTTTGGGAAGTGTGTACAGGCTGTACAAGAGAGGAAATTGTGTACAGCCACTGCATTCTGAGAGGCACTGCAGAGAAAGTCATTAGCTGGGATCAGTCAAAGGCAGAAGGGAACCACTGGAAGAGAATTTAGAAAACGTCATTAGGAGACAGTGGAGGAGAGAAGAAAATAAGAGTAGGAAAGGGGATGATGCAAAGAGAACACAGTGGGGAGTTCTGAAAACAGACACAAGAGGAAGGTAACACAGCAGCTGAGATGAGCTCAAGGAGGCATTAAGCAGAGAAAAGCCAAGTGAGTAGCAGTTATTACAATAAAACTTCCACAGCTCATAGCCAGGAAAGATTTTTTTTCTTGTTGAAATATTGCGAAAAGCAGCAAACTTGGCAAAGCCCAGAATTAATAAGTACCACAAAAATGCTAATACATGGATAATGTTTTTCTGGCACTTAAACTTGAAGCCAAGGTAGCACAAAAGGAAAATGATGGCAGAGCCAAAGGATTTGCCCCAGCACTTGAGGAAAAGAGAACCAGCTGTGTGACCCAGCAGCTCAGAGCCTAATGACTCAGGTGTGAGCTGCAGGGGTGACCCCAAACCTGCCAGTCATCCATAATGTCCTGCACCTGGGGAGAGCCTCAGGGAACAGGCCTGAAGGCAGTCCCACCTGGAGGGGCCACTCCCCAAGGAACTGTACAGAACTGTCAGGGCTGAGACAGACACATCCAAGAGCTCATCTTTTGGGAGGGACAGGAGGTTGAGAGGAAAAGAAGCCCCTCACATAAACCTGCCATTTTTAGCCTGCCATTTTATAGTCTTTAAAATACCCCTGAAGTATATTTAGGGCCAATATTTCAGTCAGTTTATTGAAAAGCAAGGTACTTAGTCTTTGACTTCCTAGGAAGGAAATGTGAAAACCGACCCTGAAGTTCCTTTCCCATGGGACACAGGGATCAGCCAGCCTGTACAGAACAGGGCTTACCTTCCCCATCGAATGTCCCTTGGCCTTTCAGCATCTTCTGTAGTTTTAACAGAAAAGAGAGAGATCTGTGTTAGAAAGAGAATGCAAAAGAACCACAGCAACAAGAACTTGTTTTATTCAACACTTAGGCACCAAATCAACAGGCCCTAACCTATAAACTCTGGATGTTGGACAGGAGTTCAACAAAAACAACTGTTTCACCACAGCAAGTGGAAAGCTACTCTAGTTTAATTCCTCTCATGCATTGTTTATATGCATTTTCCCAAAATGTTTCATTTTCCCTGTGTTTCAAAAGCACAATATACTGGTTTGAGAGGGGTTCAGTGAACCTGCACCTCATCCCACTGTCTCAGCCTTTCCTAGGAGGCCACAAGGCCCAGGACTGAGTGGCTGCCCTTCCACACTCTGCACACAACACCCACTGTAAGTACTTTGTAAGTGAACGTCTTGAAAGCAAAACAAACCTCTGAAATCAAACAGCTGTTCTGGTGCAACATATCCTGTGGGCTAAGAGTCTAATAAAACACTTCTGGCAGAGAGCTCTGTGTGTTAGGACAGGACAATGAGACATCCTCCCATTCTAAACATAACTTACTGTTCAAGTCTATTACCAAACCAAATCACTTCCTACTCTGCAGTTGTTCACAACTTGATCAATTCCTATTGCATCACTTGTAGCATTTTCACAAAAGCTTCTATTACCATAATTTTGAATTTGGCTGAAAACTGTCATAAAGCTGATCATCATTTTAATAGCTACAGAATCAGCCCTCAGCCTGGTATAGTTTATTACACAGTTCTAAACACTCCACAGATATCTGTGAACGTATTTCATAAAGTAACAAATTCTATTTAAAAATAAGGAAATACAATATGAACACTATATGTTCAAGCAAAAAAGTATTTTCAGTTAAGTCTTTATAACTTAATTTGAATGCATTAACATGCAATTAAAATCTACCTACTTCTCCCAAGGGATACAACCAAGATTTAAAAACAGGCATTCTGCTTTTACTTGCAAGCATTAAAATTAAGATAACTGAAGTGGTCTCTATCGATTTAAAAACCACACAGTGATTTTTACAAGTAATTTAGAAGCAATGTCTCAGATAGAGGAGAGCAGGAAGAAGTTCATTTTTCTGTCTCTGCTCTAGCAGGCAGAGTTTATTAGGACAATGTCTCTTTTTTTCCTGTTTACTCCTTTCTGGGAAGCGGTTTTTAAGCCATGAGTTCGGTTGGGAGAGCAGCCCTCCGTGTGCTGGGGAATCCAGCAGGAAACGCGAGCACAGTGCTGAGCTGCCCAGATTTCAACAGAATCGTGTCCCTCCAACACCTCGCTAAGAAAACAGCATTAACTAAACAGCAGTAACTACGAGAAGTTTTGCGTTAGCATAAAGCAAACTGAAAAAAAAACGTACAGTCAGCAAATCACGCTCCTGCGGAGCTGCAGCATCACCGCCCAGCGCACCTCACCTTTATCCTGCCCAGGCTCGAAAACTTCTCTTTATCCTCGACCACGGCTTTCAGGATGGGCTGGGACATTCTGTTCTTCTTCTTGCAGTTGGCGGAGCCGTCCAGGTCCACCCCGCTCACCACG